AATCTGCACCCTCAGGCTGTATAGCTTTTCAGTCTTTACTAATCGGTAACCTCAAATGAATGCACATGAGGAATTTTACATGCAAGGGCAGGAGGCTGCAGAGGAAATCTGTGTATGCTGTCAGGACAGCGAGAGAAAGGACTTCTACTGTTTCTTCTGCACAGATTTCTTAGGGTAAATGTTTTACTCTAGAAAGACAAAGGATGCATCCGTACCCCAGGGAGAAATATCATACATGCACTTCTACCAGGAAGTCCAAGGAACAAAAAGCTAACAGCTAAAAGTATTCTTCTCCAATATGACGAATACCAAGCCCCTTCCTCACTGCAGTTTCCAACTCTGTACACCATCAGTGCTACCCACAGGGCTCCCTCCAAGGTGTGTCTTTTGAAGACTGTCAGGCTTCATACAGGTGGATACTTTTATTCCCTCTTTCTGTGCATTCATACACCTTCAAGGAAGAGGGGGAGCCAGGAAGCAAGTGAGAGCTAAACCCAAGACTTGATGACAACATGAATGAGTGCATTCAAATTCCAGACTGCCTACTCTTTGACAGTAAAGCCCCTCTGGAAAATTGTTTGAGCCCTGTATAATTGAAAACTAACAATGACATAAGTCAGAGGCAGCCTTAGAAGAAAGGGGATAAAATTATGCATTTACATATAGAGATATTGACACAGATAGCAATTTGGATAGATTCGCTATATATTTTATGCATCCATATTAAACACTTATGAATAGTCCTTGTATAGATGACCAAATATGGATAGAGGGACTTTATTGGGGGAGAGTTCTATAATTATGATAAGCAGATATTCAACTAATAAGTAATAGGACAGTGTAAAGATACAAAATGAGAGAAGGAAAAAGACATTGAATAACTCTACCCCTTGACATCTTTATTAAAACATGGCTGTTAGCCTACTGAACTCTAACAACAGGAAGCCTAAACTATAGCAAGAACCAGTGAAAGGTAAATTCTAGGTTAACAGCCACCATCTCGCACTTCTGCTAGCCTCAAAACTGGAGGAGGACACATATTCTAAAGGTATAGATTCAAAGGTAGGGGGTAGAAATGACTGTCCATATTCAAAATGGAAAGGCAAAGTGAATCCTTTAAACTTAAACTGAAATGTTGTTTAAAACAATGTGTGAAGAGCTACATATCATATCCTTAGATTAAACCTGGACATGCTGACCTCTTGTCTATAGCCATTAATTATCTTCAATCATAGGAAATTTACAAAGAAGAGAGGGATTTTGTTTCTTTTAAAACTTAAAAAAGCCCTGGGGTTTCTCTTTAATGGCTTGCCAATTATCAAACCAAAGTGGGTAAGTTGAAAATCCTAATTATTCAGTTAATTTATAGAATGTCAACTCTGGCCTAGGCTCTGAGGGAAAAAAAATGAAGAGACAAATATGAATGCTGTCACCACAGAGCTCCCAGCCTGTCTTCTGTGCTGGGCTGCATCAGTAGCATCTGTTCATGGCACAGGGACAGAACACCCCCAGCTTATATTCCTATAGGGCATGTTCAGAGAAAGCTCCTCAACTCTCTGGCCACATCCTCAAATCCAGATGTAACTTGCTAGTATAGAGCACAGAAATCGTCTTCCCATGGAAGCAGTGTCATGGAAATGTTTAGCTCCCAGCTACGTCCTTAAAGCTCACCTACATTCAGCTCTAGTGAACTATGAAGAGGTTTGCAGTTTGTGTCAGCCCAGGCTCACTGAATCTGCAGTATTAAACTACACTTTATAGTATCGAGATGTCTACCACCAATTGAAACAGCCAATAGTCAAGATAAATTATATAATGTTCAGGCTACGATTTTGATGCAATTTGTTCCCCCAAAAGGTCATATGTGCGTTGAGAAGTTGGTCCCAGTATGCTGGTGTTAGGAGGTGGCATGGACCCTTTAAGAGGTGAAGCCTTGTGGGAGGAGATGATGTCACTGGGGGTGGTGCCCTTCAAAGGATTTAACCCTTGCCTCACAGAGGAGTAAGTTCTGTGACAGAGGGTAGTCATCAAAAGTGAGGCTGCCCTGCTCTCTTCTCTGGCTTCCTGCCTCACCAAAGGATTTCTCCCTCTCACAATGGCCCCTCCCAAGATGTGACAAAGATGGAAGGACCCTCAGCAGGGCTCGTACTATGTGGACTCCAGTCTTCACAACTGTGAGCCAAATACACTTCTTTAAAAAAAATAAAGTACCAGCTTCAAGTATTTCCTTACAGCAACACAAAGGAGATGAACACAGCTAGGGATGAGTGGAATTAGCTGTGAGCCCTGCCATCCTGAATCTGTTTCCAGGATAAGGGAACAATGACAGGGGCAGAGCCTCTCTGAGTATGCTTAGAAGACATGGGCTGCATCTGGGATAGCTCATCCGCAGGTCAGTCAGTGGCCTCTTGTGCCGTTTGTAGTTCTGGCAAAGCTATACACAGTTTATGCTGCTGTTATTCCAAAATTCTGACTGACATACTGCCTCGTTATTTCAGCGATTATAATAGTGTTTTTACATATTCTCCACTTTTTTAGGCATATGTTTTCAAGCAGCAATCCTTGCTCTAATAGCATTTTAAGTACATTAACTTGCATTAATTTTTAAACACCACTTTTTATGCAGTTTCATTTGCACTCAATGCATAAGCCACATCTTAATTTTTAGATCCCCTAAGATTATCAGCTCAGCATCTGACTGGTAAAACAATAACCTCAGACCAGGCTCAATTTGCTCATATCATGCCATACATCCATGTGTAGCTAAAACAGAAAAATAAGCTATTCTAAACAAGCACATGAGGCTCTGAGACAAAATTTCTAAAAATAATTTTGTTTATGTTTCAGAATAAGGAAGAAAGACATGCAGTATAATAGGTACTGCCTGAAGGAAGTCATTTACTGGCTCTGTGTCAAGGTTAAGCAAGCTCTTTCTTCCAATTCATTAAGAACGGCCTCAGGTTCAGAGAATGTGGATGCTTTAGAGGTCATCACCCCAAATCATCCTAATAAAACACTGTTTCCAGACTTGGTGCTAGGGTCTCAATATGAAATACAGTCTGCTCTCTAATTAAAAATGTCCTGCTTGCTTGTGTTTCTTCACCACACCACAGAGAGAAGCAGGATGACATGTACAGATAATTCTCCTGCCACTGGTATTCCTACACCATCATAGGGAGAGGCTCCTAAATTCTGCTCTATGGATTCCCAAAGCTTTTCATGAACTCCCAGAAGGATCTAGATATATCCTTTCTCTGAGCATCTCATAGGATAAAAGATCTCAATCTGAATCCCCTTGGAGAGGAAATGCTATATTGCTAGAATCTGGTATTCTCCAATAAAATCTATGCTTGGAATGTGCATTCCAGGTCTCTAAAGAAAGAAAGCAACTGCTAAGAAGGAGGAAGACGAATTGTCACATAGGTAGCCAGCATGTCAAGAAGAGCCAAATAGCAGTGGAAGCATGGAACCCTGAAAAGCCTGGGAAGCACCGGGTGACTTTGGTTCCTGTGCCTTCCCACACCTTCCCAGACTCAGGGGGAGACATGGTTGCCCATACGTATGACACTGAATGATGATTCCCAAAGAAGGCTTGGCCAATTCCATGTTAGTATCATGGGAAACTTGTTAGAAATGCCAGTTCACAGGTCCACTCTGACCTTGCTAAATCAGAAATTCTCAGGGTAGTCTAGCAGTCCATGTTTGTGCAAATCCTACAAGGGCTTCTGGACCCAGTCACGTTTGAGAACCAATGTTCTAGAATGAATTAAAGTTATTGTAATGTAGTTTCTCTCCCAATCCTTATTGATAATTGGACAATGAGGAATCTTTTCTCCTCTTAAAGAAATGTCAAGGATCAGTAAGCTAAGGGGGAGCAAAGAGGATGTTGGGGTCTATTGTTGCTTTGTGCCTAAATTCACCACCCTGCTTTCCCATTCATTTCTGATTTAAGGATCTCTGTTATGGGCACCAACAAAATGAAAGGAGGAACCATCAGAAATAGATCTGATCTTCCCTAGAGCCCAGTGTATGCCAGGCAGCTTACTGCCACTTAACCTTTCCGTTCTCCACATACAAGCAACATTAACAGGAGTTCTAATAGACCGCATGAATGAAGAAAACCCTCCAGACTTGCTCTCCACAGTTAAGTCACCACTAAAGCGTCCGCACTGCTTTCTCACTGAGGTATTTATAAGCAGGGTCAAACTATGAGACCACACAAAATACAACAATAATGTATTAGCCAATATGAAGTTTAAACTTCAAAACACATGCCTTTAAATCATTAAAACTCAACTTTTTACATAACAACACTTATACAAGCCTGCCCCCATTAATATTCAAGCCTTTAAAAAGGACACTTTTAAAAATCATGGTCAATATAACCCATAATTTTTAATCCAACACTAAAAGTTTTTCCATTACAAAAAGGCATTCTTAGCTCAAGGATCTGAGTTCGATCCCCGGTACCAAAAAAAAAAAGGCATTCATGCACAATGTTTCAATGTGCTGCCAATGGCTGTTCTTACTTCATTTCCAGTGTTGTAGTTTAAATTTGAAAAAATGCGAATCTGGATAAACAATAGCAACCAAAAGCACACCACAGATTTGGAAATCAAATTACAGCAGAAAGGACTTTTCTGCACAAAGTAGATGTATCTGTATATCCTACTGCCATTGTATGGCTCCTCCCTTAATGAAAGCAAACAGGGAAAACTGAGCACTGCCTACAGGCCTATAATCGTTAGCTACTTGGTACTTAAGAAACCAGCCCTGTGTCTTCTGGGACAACTGTCCTCACGGGAAAGTGGGCAGTGTTGAGTAACCAACATTATTTCTCTCCATCTTGATTTGTAGGATCATATCCTTGTTGCTGTTTTTTCAGCTTGAAATCCCAGTCATCATAAATCTAGCCACTTCCTTCTCTAGTGGTAATTAGCATAAGCCCTAAGCCAAAAATGATTCCACACGAGAAGTAAAATAAATTCAGCCCTTCTTACCTTTCATGCCAAACTTGGAGTGTCTTGCCAACTTAAGCAGGAACAGCATCACCAGCAGACAGAATCCCACCACAGATGCTATCACCACCACAGCATAGACCTGGGGATAGGAAGAGAAGCAGTGACGACCCTGCTAACCAGCTCCCTGCAATGATGACAATCATGAGATGGCAGCTAAGGTTTATTGAGTACTTAATAGTTTCTCTTGTAACAGCTTTAGTATGTCAATTCACTTAATCCTCAACAAACATGCTAAAATATATAGGTCATATTATTATGTATACTTTACAAATGAGAAATCATAAGCCAAAGTTTATAAAAATGGGTATCCAATTGAGTATCAAATAGATACACTTCTATCTATAGCTGCAACTACAGACCAATCCATTCCTGTCCACCCACCCACCTACCCACCCACCCTCCTATCTGGAGAGAAAGACTTGTGTCACTCAAGGCAGAGAATGTCTTTGTAGTTTGAGATCTTAGTCTAAGAAATAATGCTGTGCTGAAGGGGTTGGGTTGAGGGAGGATAAAATATGAAACATTAATGGTAAAATAATGATAATTTTTGAGTGCGGTAAATGGTACAATAGGGTTCATTGTACTACTTTATTTTTGTATATGTTTGAAAGTTGTCCAGTAATAAAATATATTTTTTAAATTGGTATTGTCACTTTTAAAAATCAGAGTACCCTGGGAGCAGTGAGTCAGATAAAGGAAGGCAGTGTGGGTTGAGTTCTGCTTATGAAACCTCTCATACACTTATGACCTGTACACTACCTGTATGGATGATACAGCCAAAAGGGGTTTTAAAGTTTAAAAAAGGAATTGCAAATACAGAGTATGCATGTACATAGGGTAGATATACAAATACTATCACAACCCTGAGATGAGGTGAGAAGCTCACACTACCACTGCTACTCCAAGTGCTTTGGGGTGGTGAGGGTATCCTAAATACAGCCTAACATTCTGGAAGCAGAGATATAAGCAACACTGTGCCTCATCTTTCAGGGTTTGGGGGGGAAGCAGTTTCTTTAGTGAGCTGAATGAATGCTCCATGTGTTCCCACATTACCATATGACTTACAATGGATGCTTGGTAATCAATACCAGAATCCAGGGATCAAAAAGGTTCAATGTGGTAGTAGGCAAATGTGGAGGAAGTCAAATGTAGTTTACTGTCACCACCACAATTCCATCCAATGCTAGCCACCCCCAGATTTATCTGATATAAAGGGAGATTAGTGTTTAAAAGTTATCAAATCATCTTATCTGACAAGTATAAACTGCCATCCATAAAATATTTCTCATCACTAGTGTTTTCGAAAATAATTTGCCTTGACAAATTTTACCTCAATATTGTTTGTTTATGTAAAGACAAATTATCTTGAAAGAGTCACTGGCCATCTAACATTGTTTTACCCTACAAGGAAAGAAGAGAACTTTCTATGTTGTAAATAGGCATTTTACTCATCTACTTATTCCCACTAGGCAACAATTCAACTATAGCCCATCTGACAGGGCCCTCCTGGTCCTGGGAACCCACCACCAAATGACAGTGCTACCTGGGCTCAAGTCACTGCCACTTCCCAAGCCCATGCAGTGCAAGGACCATGGGCAACTTTGTACCATCTTTAAAATCTAGCACCATACCTCAGTCCATACTGGGGGATTTGAGAGCTCTGGAGAACACCCCACCTTCCAAGGCCATCATCTTCCAGCCTTCTCCTACCTCCCCAACTAGCTCCCAGGGAGTTGACACTGCTGTATGAGCAGAGAGAGCTGTGCAGTCATCAGCCATGCTTCCGTGGCCTGACCACGAACCTGGCTGTTCTGGGCTCTAGGCTTGGCCTGATACTCACTCCTCTTTCCTGGGCTTCTGTTCCCCTCACCCATTTGCCCCAGTGAGCCTTATGCCTTCCCTGTTGTGTACATAAAAACCTGGTTATTGTTAATCTTTGCTCTTTGTCTCAACTACTGAGGAAGAACTGCCATGTATGAGTGGTGATTGTTGAGCCAGACTTTATGCAGATTTACTCTGTCCAGTGAAGAGGTTGGGACTCAGCCACCTTCAATGGCAGTTCTAGAAATAAACTACAGGAGAATTCAGCCAAAACACCTCATGCTGGACAGACTTTCTATTCTTGCCTGGTGGACTTTAGTTGGAATACACTGCTATGCCTCATCTTCTTTCAGTTTTGCTCAGCCCAAGATCTTGCTGCCAAAAAAAAAAAAAAAAAAAAAAATGCTGCAAGGAAGTGGCAAACATAGAGAGTATTCAGGCTTGGCCAGCCATACAGTCTATGTTGCTACTGTTCAGCTGGAGAAGTAGCCTGAAAGCAGCCACAGAAGCATGGAAACCAGTGATGTAGCCACATTCTAGTAAGACAGTATTTACGAATACACACAAGTGACAGGATTTAGACATAATTTCACAGCTCTTGCCCTAAACTGTCTGAGATATCCACACTGACTTAGACTCTTTAGCTTCACTGTTTCATTTAATCTATATAATAATCTTTAAATCTGACAGTATTATGGCCCTCAGTGGTAATCATTAGCACTGGGCCCATGTATTCCAGATTTCTCCCTGTGTTACTCTGTAAAATGCACCTCCTGGCTTGCTTGTGATTAAATGGGTTCATGTGACTAGTTAAGGGCTGTGTCACTATTGGGTGGAGAATTGCAGTGCTAGTCTGAGACCTTTCAAGGAGTGACTCTCAACCAGAAATAATGTTGCCACCCCAGAGACTTTGGCCATTCTGGGTTATCACAGTCTAGAAAAGGTGCCACTAGCATCTAGTGGATAGAAGCCAGTGGGTAGAACAGGGATCCTGAACAAAAAATCATTTCTCCCCAAATGCCAGTGGTGCCAATGGTGAGAAGCCTACTGCACTTATTCTAGAATTCCTTCCTCTGTGTCATAATAGATGCAAACTTCCTATGCTAGAAGCAAGACAATGCTCAAAAAAGCTCACAGCAAAAAGATATACTGAAGCATGAAGGAAACCTGTATGGTTTTGAGCCACTAAAAACACGTGGAGATTTTTGTTACTGCAGCATAGCTTAACCTGAGTGATACTCACTTCATAGTGAGGTACTACACACTGGAAAATATTAAGAACACTGGTTGTTCCTGAGCATAAAGTTTACCACTTATTTCATATATCACTTCAGAATTACTTAAACCCTGCATCTCACAGTCCCCATGTGTAAAATAGGGAATATAATAATACTTTACTCTGTAGTTTGTTGTAAATCTAAAATGTGAATGCAGATAATGGACTTGGACCAGTGTCTACTACCATAGATAACACATAAATATGAAAGATGCCAATGTCAATGATGATGATAAAACTAAAATGTAAAGAAAATTAAATAAAAACCCCAAGGCACACCTCCCAAACTTAGAGTGTGAACGAACCAGTGTGTCCAGGTATAAAACGTGGTTTGCTCATGAAACTTCCTCACCAGGTGCGTGGTTGGAAATGAAGGTGTAAAAGTAAAAACATGTAGCTGACTCTCCCATTATAACGCCAGCCTGATGTCAGGGGAAGGCAGCACTAAGGAAGTCACCAAGCACAAAGCAGAACAAGGCCAGTCAGGTGGCCAAGATAGAGCCACAGTCTAAGAATCCTCTGCCTGGTGCTTTCACTGTGAGTGTCTTTCCCAGAATGTGCCAATGCACAAGTGTGAATACGAACTGAACTCCACACCAGCAGCCTCTACACACACGGGCAGCAATTCTGCCAAGGCTAACTGTGGATCAGCTTATTCTAACTAAAGCCTTACCCCTCAAATTTGCCCAATGGGTTTGGTTTTTGTTACTGTTGTTGCTGCCTAATCTTTACTTCTACCTATTTTTTCCTGAAAATGAGTTAATAGCACCTCAACTGTAATTTTTCTACCTTAAGAAATTCAAGATTTCTACAGATAGAAGGGGAATGCCTAAATACATGCATTCAAATGTTATTTTATAGAAAAGAAAACTGGGATGGAGAGAGGGTGTATGACTTGCCCAAGTCCCCTGACCTCTCAGCATGCAATGGTACAGTTTCTTACTTCCTTTAAAAGTCTGTGGACAACTTTCAGGATCCCTGAGTCCCTGTGTTTTGGGGATACTCCACCTTTCCCAGCTGTGAGACCCAGAAATAATGCTTCACTTCTCCAACCCTCCACTTTCTCATTAGATAATTATGCCTGATCACAGTTATTGGATAGGTAACTCCACTTGCAGAACAGGAAGGGGCACTACTATTGAAAAGCTGCTAAAGATTTGAAAATTGACATTTAACCCAATTGAAGTCATTCTGAATTAAAACACTTTAAGAAACAAAGGCTTAGGGTCGGGGATTTAACTCAGTGGTTTCGTTGCCTGCTGTGCAAGTGCAAGGACCCGAGTTCTATCCTAGATACAAAAAAAAAAAAAAAAAAAAAAAGAAAGAAAGAAAGAAACAAAGGCTTCTGTGACAGTAAGAATCTCTTTTTCAAAAACTGCAATAAATGTAGAGTTTCAGGTGTTTTGCCTGTGTTGGAGGGAAGGCTGATGTTTATGTGAGGATTTGGCGATTTGGACGGTCAGTTGGTTTTCACCTGAAAATGTCTTTTAGGACAGAACAAAGGGGATCTGTCCTTTCCCAAAAATCCAACTAGGATCTTGAGGAGCTATTACTGGGCCCAAAGGCCAGCATTTAGGGCTGTCTCTCAAATGTCCTGACAACACCTGCAACCTTGCTGTCACCTCCCTGGCTCTGAGACTCTTCTAATAAAGTGGTCCTCCCTGTGATCAGAGTCTGTTTATGTCACAGATATCTGGACCACACAAAATTTTTAAATTTTCTTTAAATTCTGCAAAACATGGTCTTGCATCTCTGATACAGGATTCTAGGGGCCCCTGACAGAGTCACAATGTACAGGCTTTGAAGGATAATTATTTTTACTGATCTTGCCTTCTGGCACTATAAACAGCTTGAATGTCTTGAGACATGCCAATCGGGGCCTCCGTCTATTATTGGGATCAAAAGAGAGAAGACTAAATTTAATATATATTTCTAGTAATTGAAATGTGTGCACATCAGTGGCTCAGATCCTGCAGCTTGGGTCTTTTACATATACATTTTCAAACCATGAAATATTAAATCATAGAGACTGACTGATCATGGCACTTGCTGTTGGTATTTCAGCATCATGCATATGGTCATCTGTGGAAGTCTGTAGTGTGTGCGTGTGTGTGTGTGTGTGTGTGTCTATTTTGGATATGTTCACTTTGAGCTGCAATTATGCTGCATCTGTTTATGAACTTTCCATTCCCAATGTCATGGTCTTAGTTCAAAGATATAGCACCAAACACCTCAATAATCACCCCATTTCCAGGCTTTCTATTCTACCTGTCCTATAGTGTTCATCATAATTCTAGCCAGTCTGCAAGACTTATCGAGTGCCTACTAGATGTCAGGTAGTATTCTCAGAGGCTACAGGCACACACACAAAAAACGTTGACCAGGATGCCTATACAATAGCTTCCCTTTAACTGAAAAGGAGACATTTCAAGACCTCCAGCAGATGCTCAAAAACCATGGGTAGAACCAAATTCTATATGCACTGTTTTTTCCTATACAAATATACCTATGCAGAAGTTTACTTTATAAATTAGACACAGTAATAGATTAATAATAACAATAATAAAATCAAGCAATTATAATGATAGGCCCAAATAAACGCTTGTGCTTTGGAGACCTTATTAACTACAATAAGCCCTGTGATACCGTGATAGTGGGTCTGATAACTGAGCTGGTTGCTAATTATGGGGGAGTAGCTTAGACAGTGGGGATACTCAGGACAAATAAATGATTCACAATCCAAATGGGACAGAGGAATTATGAGATATTTCATCACACTACTCAGAGCAGTGCATAATTTACAATCTATGAGTTGTTCATTTCTGGAATTTCCCATATAATGATTTTAGTCTCAGATTGAACTCAAATAACTGAAAATAAGGAAACTGGAGCTACAGATTAGGGGGAACTACTGTAGTTAAAACTCCTACTAAGGAATCTTGAGAATGGAAGAAGATATTAAACAGGTAAAGGAATAAATAAAATAATTCCAGATAGTAGCTTCTTAGAAGAAAATCAAAGGAGGCAGTGATTGCCAGCCACCTAGCCTCAAAGACCTTCTTAAAGCCCAAAGCTTGTCAGCAAGCTGAAGCTATGTGTTCCTCTGTGGAGTGAGCCTGTAGTATTCAAGGGAGTATTCAAAGAACAGGTGGCCAAAAGTGAGAAGAGCACATAGATGATGTCAGAGAAAGGAGGAAGGACAAGAAGATCATCAAGGGCTTCATAAACCACCAGGAAGAATTCAGCTTTTAAAAGAGAAGTTTTATTTCAAATGCATTAAGAAGACTGGGAATAGTAATAAAAAAGCATTCTGAGAAAAATGTGAGAAATTCTGAATTTCTAAGAAAAGTCTGTCATTTGCACAAAATGGATGAACCTAAAGGACACGGGACAGTTAAGATTAATTGTTAACTCGCTTGATTTAGGAGCCGCTCAGAGGATCAGACGCAGTTTCTGAGTGTGTCAGAGCGGACCGTGGAGGCCTGACCTTGGGGTCTGCATCTGGTCTTTGCCCCTTTCCTCTCTAGCACTCTTCCCTGGCTCTGTTTCCCAGCCACTATGAGGTGAGCAGCTTTTCCTCCCAAACCCTTCAACCACGTTGCTTCTGCTTTGAAGCCAGCCAACCACAGACTGTACCCTCTGAAACATGAACCAAATAAACCACTTCCTTCTTTAAGGTGTGAGTGACAAGTATTTGGTCCCAGCAATGAGAAAGCTGATTAATACAACACATGTTAAGTGAAATAAGGTAGGTACAGAAGACAAATACTACAGATCTTACTCATCTGTGGAATATAATAAAATTGATTTCATAGAAACAGAAGGTAGAATGGTGGCTAGGAGAGGTTAGGATGTGGATGGTGGCCTGGGGAAGAGGAGAAGGTGGTCAAGAGGTTAAAGTTATCGTTTGGTTGAAGGAATAAGTTCTGGCATTTTGCTGCACAGCAAGGTGAGTATAGTTAATACTAACATATTATATTTTCAAAATAGCTAAAGGAGAGAACTTTAAATGCTCTCATCAAGAAAAATAACAAGTATTTGTAATGATGGATACACTAATTACTGTGGCTTGATTATTCTACAATACGTATAAATATGGAAATAACACTATGTACCCTAGAACTATATAATCATCATTTGTCAATTAAAAATAAAATAAAACCTAAAGATGAAGTGATCTTATTGGAGTTTAAGGTCATTCAGGGTGCTGGGTAGAGGAAGAGCCCAGGTGACAAGCATGAGGGAGCAAGGCACTTCAGAGATATGATGTCACTCAGGAAAGAGCAACTGTAGCCAGCTTCTCTGTAAGGGCCAGATCGCAAATGGTACTAGCTTTGCAGGCCATATGGTCTCTGCTGCAACACTTCACCAACCACTGTAGCACAAAAGCAGTCACAGACTATGCAGGTGAGTGGGCATGACTGTGTTCCAATAAAATTTTACTTATGGGCACTGAAATGTGAATTTCATGGAATTTTTATATGTGAAGAAATATTGCTCTTCTTTTGATTTTAATGTAAAACTATTCTTAGCCTGCAAACCTCACGGAAGCAGGCAGTCAGTCAAACTGAATTCACAGGCCCTAGTTTGCTGAACTTTATGTTAGCCTACAACAGAGGCAGCCAAGAAGGAGACTTGCGGGTAGACTGGAATGTATAAGGAGGCAAAGCTCACAGGAAATGCCATCTGCACCCGATAAGGGAGGAAAAGAAGAGAGCAGAGGAGGCTTTGGGTTTTGATCAGAGCCACTGACCCTGGGATCTGTGGCCATCTGTCAATTGCTCCTCATCACACACAGGACTACACACCTGGACTGAGTTCCAAGACCTGCGTCTCTGACCTTAAGAGTGCTCCCTTGCAGACTCTGTAACCTCAAAAACAAGCACCTGCATCATGTTTTCCAACCTGCAAGTTCTTATTCACACACCCCAGCTGCCCTTCCCTTCCATTCCTATATGTCCACCCCCAAGCATCCGGCATGAGCCACACAAAATGCCATCACATCCAGGGAAAATGTCAGGGAAAATGCAGCCTCCTAAAAGATCGATCTGAGTTTCACTCATGCATTTACATTCTCAGAAGTTCCTGGATTGCTTGCCTTTGATGAACATTCAAACTTTTATGAAAATATTTAAGAGGTGAAGACATGATCCCTGAATGAAAACACTGGTTTCTTGATCTAGTGATCCTCTTGTAAAGGACAGATACAGTGGACCCTTGACTTACGAACTGGTTGGTTCCCAAGGGCTGGTTGTAACTCAAGTTAGTTGTAAGTTAATACAGCTGAGATCTGGATATTTACCTGGGTGCACACTATAGATAACAAAAGGTAGATGAACCCTCCATTAACCTAACTAACCCAAGTTGTTCATATGTCAAGTGGGACATAACTTGAGGGTCCACTGTATTTGAAAAAGGATTCACTCACAATCAAACATTGTAGACAAAAGGAAAAGCAAATAAACCTGAGGCTAGATAATACCTTTATTACTTTTCTTAAACTTTTCTATTAATTCCTCCCATATTTGATTCTCTGTTTACATCTGAAACATAAAAATGTCTTGGAGAGGCAACCACAGTCCTTCAACATGTGATCAACTGAGACAGTCAGGCTGATCTAGGAAACACATGGTTATCACACTCACTGAGAGATGTTCCCGGCCAGTTTTGTCAGCAACTGTGGAGGGAGTTTCACTGCTTCTGTTTGTAGTGTCACTTGTTGTAGTCCAGTCTTAAATTGGAGAAGGGGGAAAGAAGGAACAAGAAGTTGTCATTAGGCTGCCAGCACACATGAGGCCACAGAAAGCACCAGCAGGAAGCAAGACCAATTTCCAAAGACCAAGGTACCAACAGCCTGGCCAGGGCTACTGAGTTAAATCCACTTCAGCATAGCAACTGCGTGACGCTAAAGCTTTATTCAGCAGAGACCTTTATATCACTATGTAATTGGTCAAATTCTAAATCTGGTTAAGAGTTTCTTCTTTGCACTGAATATATCCCCTTATTGGTGGAATCTTCAAAACAAACATGAAAGGGGATCAATTCTTTAAAAGCCATGGATTTACAGACATTGCAAGAGTCTTTAGAAACCGAGTCTGGCTGCCACCTGATGAAAACGGAGCAGAGCCCAGACACTAACCAGATTTCAAGTGGGCAACACTAATTCCTGGGCAGGTGCCTCTTGTCCAAGTGAAGGGCAAATGCTTACAATGGAATGGAATGTACAGTAAGCATCAGCATAGAATTTGGGTCCACCAAGAAACTTTCTTGGAGAGTTTGAAATTGCCAATATTTCAGTTTCAGAATCATTACTACTGTAGACTAACACAATGCTCAGACTTTTAAGGATGTGTTCTCATTACACCAAGCCCCCAAATCAATTTTACTCTATACAGATCAGGATGGATAAGTGACTGATTTTTTTGGTGAGTAAAATTTTTATTAGCAATATCACATGCAAAGTATTACCAAGAAAATTCTTGCTGAACTTATGGCACATGATATTGTCTGTAAATGTTTATATTTTAATCCAAAATAGGTGCAGCATCTTTAATTTCCATCCTGAACAAACTATATCATTAACCCAGCCTCAGCTCAACTTCTCCAGGTGGAATAATTACACTGACCTCAGGGCAAGCAATTTAAATTTTATGGTATTTTTATGAGCAAAGTGTTCCTTGCAATGTGAATGAAAAATAGCAGAAAAAAGCACCTATTTTCCACTTCTTGTTTTATTCTTGTAAAACTTACTGATTTTAAACATGAACACATATCATTTTTAGTTTTCCTTCTTCATGTTATCACTGCCTTATTTAATATTTAAATCACTGAAATATCTAGAGGTAAGTATCATGACATTTTGGCCCAAAGATTAGAGTGTGACTTGAGAGAAGTGGGAAGATAGCATTTTTAAAACCTTGAAATTACTAAAAAGAAATCCAAAGCATAATTTTAAAATGTGAAATTGCAATTCTCACATAATTTTCGGTGATACAATTTGAGATATTATTTCTTTAAATTATATCAGGACAAATAAAAAGAAAAATTTGCAAATCACATGCATAAAATCAACCAAACCATAACCTAGGAGAAATATGGCTTAATATGCATAAGCAGGAAGAGAAAACATAATTCTTAATTAAACTCAAGTTAAATGCACACACCTTATAATGAACATTCAAACACAGGATGGCCTTATGGGAAAAACTGATGTCTACATGTATATTTACATATAAAATTACAGATCAGAATAGTTTTAGAATACATACATATAACATTTAAATCAATCTAATATTTTAATCATTCTTAAATTTCAACCCAACTCTTAAAATGCAGCCTGTCACTTCTCCACATTAAGGGACTGCCTGATCAAAAAGGTTGTCTGGAAATTTGTTAAAGACAGGTTATCATACCTACTAAAAAAATCTTGCTTTTCAATCAAAATAGCAAAGTATGATAAGATACTGGCGCAAAAACTAGTATCATAGACCTCTTAGTTTCTGCCCTTCCACAATCCTGAGAGTCTCTCACTTGCTTAGGGTTTAAATCTCTTGACTTCCAGGGAAACTCTCAAACTCTGGGACTGGGACTAATTAATGAAAAGTTAAATCATCCCTCTTACCAGTAATGAGAATGGACCATGACCCAGTGTGTCTGGAACCAGGTTCAAAGAGGGTCTGATGGTTTCTAGGAAGGTGCTCTTTCTTTGGGGACACCATCAAAGACTCTTCCTTTCCTCCTATCAACCTGGGTGGCAAAAATCCTTCTATCAGCATCCACTTATTCACCTGTGAGGGGACTCAGCCCTTAGTGAAGCTGGCAGAAGGACTTGGGGCATGTGAAGAGGCAGAGAATTTGGGTCCTGGATGATATGGTTGGGCTGCCGGTTTAACCACCCCTAAATTAAGCCCTTCCTTTGAAGTTCCTGTCCGGGAGCCAAACTTCCTCATTAAACAAGGAACAATCTTAAACTGGGTTTACTCTCATAGTCAGAAACCAATACAGTTCTCTTTCCTCAGTAGTCATGGCTTTTATTTATTTTATTTTATTTTTTTTTGGTACCAGGGATCAAACTCAGGACTTTGCACTTGCTCAGCAGGCACGGAGTCACTGAGCTAAATCTCTGGCCCAGTCATGGCTTTTAAACAGGTAATTAGTTCCCAATTATGGAAACAAAATGTCTGTTGCAGCAGAATGGATTTACTACTTCCAAGAACAGAGTATGAGAAAGTGTTATTTACAGGCACCATAAATATCAAGGGGAAGATGTCCATCAATACTGAATGATTTTAATGATGCTATTTCAGCCTATATAATACTTAAAGTGTGTATTTAACTGAGTTTAGAGGTCTTCTTTTAGTCAATTTATTTTCATTATATACAAACATTTTGATAAAGAGCAAAGTGAAGAAAATATGATAGCTACCTTCATAAATTCCACCTAGATAATCTGGGTTGTCACCTAAAAAAGAAAACATAGCAAACATGCATAAGTATGTATTTTGGTGTTTAAAATTTACTAACCAATAGGAACTAAATTATGCTAAATATGCAATAAAGCTTTTATAATCAAATAGACTGTTTTATAGGACAGGTAAATAAAGCCAGAAAGTCCAGCTTTGCTTCATATTAACTCTGTTCCATTCCCTAGTCCCCTCAGTCCTCCAAAAAAAGAAAAAGAAATAAAAGAATAACCAGAAATCATAAGTCATTTTGGACAAACTTCAGAGACCAGTGAATTACGACAATTTCCTTCTGTAGACTGTTTCTATTACACAGTTGGCCATGTTAATAGCAATGCTAGTATGTTCATTCCAGAGATAGGTAATTTTGCTACCACGTCTGTTATTCTCTGGTAGTTTGGGGTTACTGTCAAGCTATGCACAGCAGGGCCATTTACATTCATGAACATATTATCACCTACATAATGATGACTAAAGCACAATTCTGCACTCCTTTGAATCTTTAGGGAGGTTTCTAAGGTTGAAGAAACATATCTTTTTCATCCTAGCATAATCCCCCGCCCCCCCAAAAAATATACTTTCTCTGTTGAAATCATTCACATATCAGGTTATAAATAAATGTGACATTGGAGAGGAACATAAAATTATATCAAGTTAATTTTGTGGATGGCTCTGAAGACACCAAGATGATCAGAATATTCTGCTTTAGGATTCTCCCATAAAACTTGCCAGAAACATTGAAAATTAAAAAAAAAACTCAGCATCAACAAGAACTGGTGACAAAAACATTTGCTACTGATTCTCTGGTCACAGCTAACTGGATCTCTACATGAAAGTCTACTTGGAAATATAGATTAAATTTTTGCATAACAGTTAAGCCTTTGCAAAGTGAACTTCCAAACTACAGTTTTAGATGCCACTAGCCAGGTGACACAGTAAAACTCATAGTCATAATGATCACTCAGTTCTCATTTCACTTCTGAACCCTAAGTAGAAAATGGCATTAAAATAAAGGGAAATGAGCCAATTTTCTGCTTAGGAATTCCCCAGCATGTTATCAAGATTAGTCTAAATGAAGAACCAAATAAAAGTGGCCCCACTACTCATATTAGAATTTTAATACATTTCAACCAGAAGAATATCTATTTTATCAGGGAAAAAATTAAATGGATGGCTGTGCTCAATTCTGGGGTGCTGCATACTGCTGAGTAATCCATGTTTTGTACAACTCCAGGGGCACCTTTCACACTGTAGTCTCTGTGACTAGCAACTCCCCAAATTCTGCAGTGCACAGCCTGCACAGCCACCTGAGATGGCACTGCGTCAATTCTCAATTCATGCAAAGTAATTAATTCCGGTAAATTTCAATTGCATTTTCCAGAGTTTCATTACCCCAATGCCATCTCTAAGTAGTTCTGAGTTACACTGTGCCAGTATGCATTGTCAGAACTACTGGTAGCTCATATGTCACCCTGAAAGAGGACGTAAAGGCTGCTCTGAAGTTTAAGGGGTGATTCAGTGAACACAGAAAGGAGAATTCCCAGGGTCAGACTCCCGCTGCCATTTGCTGTGATTTGTATGGTACCTTCCAGTCTTCTGAAGTCTTTTTTCTTTGCCAAGGCCCTAGACAAAATGATGTCCTGTCACCCCGGGTCTTGCTCCCTCTGCTGAAAGAAAGGGTCTCCAGCCCCAAGGGAGCAAGTCATGCTTGGGGTTGCCCCGTAATCCTTCATTTTGGAAGATCTCACTCTGCCCTGCAGCACAGTCTGGGTCAGCGAATCTACGTGGTCTCCAGCAGCCACCCTGCACTTCTAGACCTCACCGCAGATTCCTGGGACCCAGGGTTCTCCCAGTACACATCCCAGCCCTCTTCATAGGCTGGTTAGAGTTCCCCTTCCACCTGTCTATCCAACATGGCCACCCATCATCCATCACGAGCACCCACTAATCCAAGACCCGGGAGAGGGGCCAGGAGGGAACCTAGACAGGTGGGCAGGGTTTTCTGCATGCACAGCTGCAGAGAGTCTCACTGCACAACTGGGGGTCACAGGTAGGAGGTCATGGTTTGGGACCAGGTCCAGTGAAGCTATGACATTTCCCCATAGAATTCCAAGAGCCTGAGAATTCTGACCTCAATCCATCCTTTCTGGTCATTATAGACATACATTTGTCAGGTAGGAGGACAGATCCTGTCTTATTTCACAATTGTCACCTTAATTTATAATTTGAAAGTATTTGCATATAAGTCTGCAACCCTGAATTTGTACTAGAATGGCCAACCATACTAGACTGCCTGGGACTAAGGATTCCTGAGATATTGGACCTTAAATTTTCAAACTGGGGCAGTCCCAGCCAAACCCATTCAGTCTGTCCAGGACTGAGGGCTCTCCCTGGATGTGGGACCTGCACTGCTTCACCTGGGAGGAGCTGGTCACCCAGTTGGCTCTGATGCCGTTGTGAACTACACACTTGTGAGAGGGAGGTCTGTAGTCACCGTTTGCTTTAAATATGCAATCCCCCCCCAAAAAAACAATAAATACAAAGACTGGGGAATCTGAGTCAAATTTATCTCAGCCACACATTTTAAAAGCCTCAATGATTATGAATGACTTAGAGCTCCAATTCACCTCATCCTGAAAGGGAATTCCCCAACACATCCTCCACACAAAGCCCCAGGCATGTCAAACCAACTTAGAGTAGCCAATGCTGGGGACAGAAAAATGGGACTTGGGGTGGGATCACAACTAAAAGATTGGCCCATAATCTAGAAAACAGGTCCTGGGAAAACTTATGACTCATATCAATGCATGGCTTCTCTACCAAGTTTACCCGCAAAACAATTAGACCACATTTAAACTTTCTAAAAAGCACTGTTCATTCCTAAATTGTGAAGAAGTATTGTCACTTAGCTTGGATTGTCAGTAACAAGCAAATTTAGTATAAGATTATGAAACGTGTAGGAAGACAATGTATCTCTAAGGAGGATGTGCTCTCCACAAAAAAGAAATGCTTTGAAGCATGAAGCATGCTGAGGCCTAGGGGTCCAGCATGGAACTGGGAAGGATGCACAGATCTCCAGGTCATGAAAAGCAAGGGTTCCATCACTCATATTAAATGCAGACACAGAAAAAATTACTGCTTCCCTTTTAGACTTCTGGCAATGGACACATTTTGAGAGTATCTCATCATTTTTAATTATAATTTTTAACTGGTCCCTTTTACTTAGTTTAAATCTATTTGCTATATACTGTTATGTACTGTGATATGCTGAATTTAGGGGGAGAGCCCTATTGGAGAGATTTAGGGCTCGAATGGGGCAAAACAAACCTTGACTATGAGGAGAAAACTCCAACAAAGAGAATGAATGAATCATGCCCTTGTAATGGAGATTTGAATGTACTATTATGTTTCCTTGGATGCTACCTTAATAGCTCTCATCAAGTTAGAAATAGCAGATTCAGGCACAAAGAGGTGGCTGCAAGCCCTGGGTTCCTGTTGGAAAAGAAACTGGCATAGAGCATGGCAATCCGGGAACTCCACTGAACCTAGTGGGGTTACAAACAGGTGGCAGGCAGTTTCACACCTGCACAGCACAGTGTGGAGGCTGCAGTTCCTTCACAACTTAGACAAAGTGAGGACCAAGAACCCAGCTCTGCTAGTACAGGGGTCAAACACTGCTTTCTGAAGAGTCTGATGAATGTCCTGAAGGGCCACATGCACTTTTACTTTGTTTTTGATCTCAGGAATGTTGTCAGGAATTATGGGAAGACAGTAACAGGTCCAAAGTGCAGCTCAGTGCACGATGTGATAGCATTATAGTTCCAGTCATACTTCTGACAGCTCCAGAATAAATGGGCGATAGCTGCACCTCCAAAGGCCGTCCCCTAGGGCAGCAAAGCTTCTGAACATGAGCGATGAAGCCACTTTTTCTTTTCTCAAGAGTAACAAACAAAAGGACTGCACCACCCTCTCAACCCCACGCTACATAACCGAAAATGAAGCCTTCTCATTTTCAGCTTCTAACCTCAGTTACAGTTGCTAAGTGAATCTTAAAATTTTATGTAAATCTTCATGAGCAAATTATAACTTGATAATAGTAAGACTGCAGTAAAAGGAAAAACACATTTTCAGGATTAAAAAAGCAAATAGTAAGGAGAGAGCAGCCTGACAGTACAAGTCATTTCACATTCTGCCACTGGAATAAAACTAATGATAAGACCAGGAAGACACATCTGTTTCCTTCCTTTCAGGTGACTTACTCACATTCTAATGTCCTTGAAAATAAATAAAGAAAAAGACTTTCCACAAGTTCTGTTTGTAAACTATTTTTAAGAATTGCACATGATAAAACTATAGAAAAAGATTGGCTCTCTTCAACAAACCTGTCCTACCAGTGCTTTCCAATGTGTGATGCTCAATGTTAGGTGATCAAGTCGTTTCCCTCCTCACTTCCTTAACAGCACAGTAGACCCCAGAACCCCAAAACATGGGTGTTTAGTCAGCCTTCCTGTCTCTGGATTAAAAAACCTGACACTCACAACCAAAAGGAGAGGTTTAATTTGGCTCATGGTTTGGGGTGATTCAGTCCATGGTTGGCTGGCTCCAAGGCAGAAATACTCTGGTGGAAAGGCATGGTACCGCAAATCTGCTCAAGCTATGGCATCCAGGAGGCAGTGAGAGAAGGGAGGAGCCTGTAGTGAGAATACACAGGCCAGCCCCCAGTGACTTGCATCTTCCCGCCCAGCCATACCTCTGAACAGTGTAGTCAGCTATGAATTCATCAGTAAACTACTCCACTGAAGAATACAATGGCCCCATGAACCCGTCACCTTCCAAAAATTCCACCTCTGAACATTAGACTTTTGGAGGTCATTTTAGACTTGGACCGTAACAATGGGAAATTGAGACATCTAGATTTCACTTCTGCCTGAGCCACTAATTTTTTAAGTGGCACTGGGGATCCCTACTTTTCTGTAACACAGGAGTATTCCATAGGACA